TACATTTAACATCCTAGAAGTATCTCTGATGGGTCTGTAACATTGACCAGGGGAATTAATAAATATCCATCAAGAGTGTTGCTCTGCACAGTGGACAGCTCGGGACAGAGACGTTCCCTTAACCCAAGATGCTTTGCTGGGATTAATGGAATCCAGCTGTGGGACCTTCCACCTCTGGCTGGGCTCCAGGAGTTGCCGGTCAATGCAAGGAGAGATAATCCTGTGCAAATTCCAGGTCCTGGGATGGAATTTCCTGATTCACTAGGATTTCACTCCTACCTCTGTGCAACAGCCCTGCTGAAGTGAAGATGACTGCACGTTAACAGCATGACACCCTGTGTTTAATCATAAATGGATATTTAATATTATTTTTGTGTAGCGATGCCTACAAAGAAAGGTTAGGCTGCTAATGCACTGAGACCATTGCTTATCATCCTGACATCAGTGTTGTCGAAATGTCTCCTTATCTGTCTGTCTCTTGCAGTGTAAGCGCTTTGCACTTGCCTTTTTAGTTCTGTCCCTGTACAGCCCCTAGCACAGCTGAGCTCCCCCACGACCAGGGCTCCTGATAATAATACCAACCGTGAAATAGTAGCAGTGTAAGCAATCACTTCAATATTACTGCATGTGACTTGCCTGGAAGAGATCACCAGATGAATGTATCTGGGGCCGTGTGGGGAAAAACCAGTAAATGAGTCTGCAACATCATTTAATCCGTTTGCATAGTGGTATATCAACTTGCAGTTTATTATTCAGCCACTAGATGTTCCTGCATGCTGATGCGAGTTCCTGAAAGATCAAGAATAATTCTACCTGAGTTGATTTAGATGGCTGAATGGTTGTGTCTGTGGCCTTTTTGCCTAACTGAATGTCTCCTGATTTGGTAAATACTTGTTGTGGTTCCATATGTGACAACTGATTAAAGTTAAGCAAACAAAAAACCAAGAAAACACCCTGATGGTCAATGTATAAAGAGGTAGAGACTAATTTATGGAAATTCAAGATTAATCTCCCACTTGCAAAACTCCCCAGAAGTTTGATGTCAGCCTATAGGGGAAAGGCAAGTCCTCTTGCTTTTCACCCCAAGCTTTGCCGCTTTGTGGTTGGCTTTGTTTTTCAGTAACGAGATAGACATGAAAGACGACGGACGCCTGAACCTGCTGCAAGATGGGACCTTGATGATCCAAAATGCCAAGGAGTCTGACAAAGGCGTCTACCAGTGCAGGGCCAAGAATGTCGCGGGAGAGGTCAAGACGCAGGAAGTCGTTCTGCGCTATTTCGGCACCCCGTGTAATTGAGCCTTATGTGGTTCTCAGTTGCCCTGCTTGTGAACCTGAGGGTTGGGAGTGGAGTTAGATTTGGCTCCTCCTTTAGTTATGTGAGCACTGGACACGCTGCTGCAGCCGTGGGAAACTCTTAGAGGTACCGAGCTGGTCCGAGGGGTGTTACGGTGTGAGTAGTAGGGATGGTTTTGGGAGAGCCACCTTCCTATGGATCCATCAGCTGCCTCTTCTCCAGACTCAATCAGCCCAGTTCCCTCAGCTTTTCCTCACCAGTCCTGTCCCCCAGCCTTCGAAATATTTTTGCTGCCCTCCACTGGATTCTCTCCCATGTGTCCACAGCCTTTCTTTAGTGGGGCCCAAAACTGGACACAGGAGTCCAGATGTGGCCTCACCAGGGCTGAATAGATGCAAAGAATCACTTCCCTTGCCTTACTGGCAGTGCTTCTACCAATGCAGCCCAGGATGCTGGTAGCCTTCTTGGCAGCAAGGGTATGCTGCTGGATCATTTTCAGTGTATTGTCCATAAAATCCCCAGGCCCTTTTCTGCAGAGCTGCTGCCCAGCCAGTCACCCCCACCCTGTGCTGGTGCATGGGATTGTTCCCTGCTAAGTGCAGGACTTTGTATTTGTCCTTGTTGAACCTCATGAGATTTCTTTTGGCTCAATCTCACAATTCATCTAGGTCGCTCTGAATCCTAGCCCTACCCTCCAGTATGTGTACTACTCCCCCCAGCTTGGTGTCATCTGCTGTGTGTGGACTCTATGCCCTCTTCCAGGTCATTGATGGAGGGTGGGTGCTAGGGAGGAAGGCATGATCTGTGCCACAGAGCGGCTTGGAAGGTCAAGGCTATTTGTTGGGTGACAATCCCCAGTATCTGTGTGATCTTCGGTGTTTTCTGTTGGCTATTTCTAGAAATCCCTATAGGGACTTCCAGACTGGGGTCTTCAGGAGATGGCAGAGTGGCTGGGGAGTCAGTTGTATTAGTGTGTGAAGGAAAGCTGGATGTGTGGAAGTGCACTCCGCCCTCAGGAGAAGTGTGCAATTAGCAAAACCCTGCAATTGTGGCATCCACCCCTGCGGGCATGATTTGATCTGTTTTTGGGGGGCTGTGCAGGAGGGGGCAGCCCCTTTCTGATACGTGTTGCTGACTTTCAGCTAAGCCCAGCTTTGTGATCCAGCCCCAGAACACGGAAGTGCTGGTTGGGGAAAGCGTCACCTTGGAGTGCGGGGTGTCCGGGCACCCTCCCCCTCGCATCGGCTGGACGCTGGGCTCGGGCTCCCCACTGCCACGTGACTCCCGCTTCACCATCACCAGCTCCGGGGGGCTGTACATCCAGAACGTCACCTTTGCGGACCAGGGACAGTACAATTGCAATGCCAGCAACATGGAAGGGGCCATTCAAGCGACAGCAAATATCATCGTGCAAGGTGAGGTGCCCAGTGACCACCTGCATGGATAGCAAGCACTGGCCATGAGTTTCAGCCAACGTGTGAAGACTGGTGGCCTTCTCAATGGGCTGGGTCCTGTCCCCAGATCTCCCTGATTTTGCGTATATATTAATATAGCAGGGAGATATTATTATTATTTATTATTATTAATAATAATATTATTATTATTAAAATATATATAATATTAAAGAATAAATAAATAAATAAAATTTAAAAAAAAATCAGGGAGATCTGGGGACAGGACTCAGCCCATCAAGAAGGCAACCAAACATTCGCTTATACACGTAGACGTACAAAAAACTAGAACTCTTGTTTCCAAAATGATACCTTTTATTGGACCGACTGGGAAATCATAAGAAAGCTGTCCTTTTCTGCAAGCTTTCGGGATCAAAGTCCCTTCATCAGGCTCTGCGAAAAAGTACAGATGGTACAAGATTTCCTATGTATGGGGATTTTTTTACCATCTTGTACCATCTATACTTTTCCCAGAGCCTGATGAAGAGACTTTGATCCTGAAAGCTTGCAGAAAAGGACAGTTTTCTTGCAATTTCCCAGTTGGTTCAATAAAAAGTATCATTTTGGAACCGAGAGTTCTAGTTTTTTGTACGTCATCTTGTCTCAGACTGACATGGCTACCAAGTACGGTCCTTGTACGCGCCTTCACTTGTAATATTTGGTTTATTTTGGCACCCTGTGTGTGTGTGTGTGTGTATTTGGTCTCCAACTGTGTCACCGTTCTCACTGTTCTCCAGATTCTCCCAGGTTCTTGGTCGTTCCCACAGATCAGACTGCGACCGAGGGGCAAAGCGTGGATTTCCCCTGCTCTGCCGAAGGCCGTCCTCCCCCTGTTATTGCCTGGACAAGAGCAGGTACTTCCCCAGTAATTATCCCCTGCACCCAGGCCGTGGTGAGGAAGTTCCTGCTCGGGACGTTCTGCTGCAGGGATGAGATGCCACAAAGACCAAGCTGGCATCCAGCTGAGCTCAGGGTGGGGTGTCCTGGGGGGTGTCTCATCCTGTGATGTTCTTTCAGCTGCTGCTTTGCTTATGACGGAGCTGGCAGGTAATGCAGTGCTATTCCCAGCACTCCCTGGAGCTCAGGGCAGCCCTAATCTGCTCCCTTCAGAGTAACTGGAGTACCTAGGCCCCGTGCAATAGCAAAACAGGCTGAGTCACTCTGTCATATGACTTGGGAGTGGTGTGAATATATCCCATTGCATCTTGTGAGCAACTGGAGGGTGAGGGCTAAAATACTTGGCTTGTGGCCACAATACAATCCTCTGGGCTCTGGCAGGGGCAGGGATAATGGGAATGCAAGAGCTGAGAGCAGCCAAGTCCAAAAGGAACCTCTCTTTTCAGGGTCAAGGAGACAGCTCAGCTTATTTAACCTGCAGGTACTGGTGTGGTCAGTCCTGGCAGGCTTCTTTTCCATTCACTTGTAGCCATGATACCATAGTGCTGGCTTCACGCTCTGTATTTTTGCCCTGAATCTCCTGGGGCTGTGAGCTAGTGGTGGGTGGGGACCTGGGAGATGCATGGCTCATGACATGAGATCATGGTTGGTAATGTTAAGAGCAGGAGAGGACCAGTGATGCTCACCACATCAGTAATAACAGGATGCAGGAAGGGGGAGCCTGGATGCTCTCAGCCTTCACATCTTCATCAGAGATGTTAGGGCAAGCTCTGCCCTAACATCTCCCCCGACCTGCAGCCTCGTTCAGTCTCTTGTCTGATGAGAAAAAGATGAGTCTGTACTGCAATGGATTATGGTACTTGGTCGTTATGGCCTGGCTTGTTCCTCAGGGGGGAGGTGGCTCAAGGAGAGAACCAGTTTTGCCTCTGACGCATGAACAGTATTTCTCTTCTGCTTTTGCAACCCTACCGGAGGCCAGCGGCAGTGGTGAACTCCTGAAGTTGTGATGTGTTGGCTTCTCCTCTGAGCTGATCCTGTGTAACACTTTCTGGGCCAGGAGCCAGTAATCCCTGGTCCACCAGCCTCCAAACTTCCTCATGCTTCCCAACGCTATAATTAATGGTTAAGAGCTGGGAAGCTTTCATCCCTGGTACTTCAGTATCTACAGCAACTACCATCGACCTTGGGCAGACCAGCTGAATTATCCTTCAGCAATGGACTCCCCATCCCCTTCAGCCTTTCCCAGCTTCTCAGTTTGCCTTTAGTCATGTGTAGCAATGTGGGAGTGATTCCACTTCAATTCAAAAGTAGAGCTGGAAAAAAAATATCACTCGGTTTGAACCAACAAAGAATATTTTCAAACTTTGCCGCGAATCCTAAAGTAAAAATGTGTTTTGGGGCCGAACAATTTTTTTTTCATTTGATTTTGCCTGTTTCAATGTTCTGAAGGGTTTTTAATGTGGTTGACATGGAAATATTTCCATCCTAAAAGTTAAAACATTTAGTTTTAAACTGAACTTTCCAGGTTTACTGGGGGGGTGTTGTTTTTGAACAATTTTGATGAAATTGGTGTGAATTCAGAAAAAAATGTGGGTATTGGCAAATCTGATTTTTCTTGCCACTGAAAAGTTTTGTGTGACTCCCCCCCCCCCCCCCC